GTAGCATGACATTTTAATATAAATGATTTATCAAACAAAATTTCCACATGAATGTTCTTTATTAATAAATATGAGCATTTGAAAGTACAGTAACAGCTTTCAAAACCTATCAAGAATCAGAATTCGTAGATGACAAAAGGTTTTCATCACTTATCAGACAAAATAATTTAACAAATTTCCGTCAAAATTTTGATATATTATTATGATATTAAGGATACAGCCTCCATAACATATTGTAATAAAAGCATATTCATAACTAAATTTGAAATGAAAATGAGATTTATCCCAGAACTGACTCTCGCCTTTGAAGCTTTGAGCTCATGATTTTTTTAAAACCTTTTTTTATAAAACAGCATAATTAATCTAAACTTAAAAGTTTTCAAATAAAACTATTTTTAATAGGTTAAGATTGTCAGATATTGAAATAAAAAATGTATCAAATCATCTTTAGCAACAATTGAACTTTATTATCTTTCAAATTGTATAAATGATAATATAACAATATATTAGTAACGATGCGGTAGTTACAAATAATATAATACAAAAAGTGAATATTTTCAACTAAATTTTTTGTTGGTAGCTTTTTACTTTGGGTTTGTTACTTTTTCAATTTATCATCGACTAAATTCCATTTAGTTGGTTTTTGAGTGGAAAATGATTACATGGAAGGTTGGTGAATATTTTCTTTTTTTCTTTTTCACTGATGTTATCCATTGTAAAGTTAAATTGTGAAAAATCAAATTTTTGTGACACTGAATTTTCCGTGCGACATTTTTGTTGTTCATTTACATATTTTGGTACACGCACAATGAACTCTATCTTTTTTGAAAGAAAAATAAGAGGTATACACATTAGTGCGAATATACGGAAATTGATTCGTTGTATTATATTGATATTAAATTATAATATTTTTGATTGAGTTCAACCAGTCGACGTCATGAATATGCAACTTAAGTACTGTTCAAAACCCTAATAAATAGAATAAATATAAATTGGCTTTGGGTTATACATCAATCGGAAAGGTATTTTTGTTGTGTCAAGAAAAAACGCCTATTTTTAACATAAAATGCTCACTGACTATGCTGACTGCAAAAATCTGAAACTCAGAGTATTTACATGGTGCAGAAATAAAAAAAATTGTGTTAGATTGATATTTTGGAGCAGAACACGTTCTATTTATTTATATATGAGTTACAAAACTCTTCTTTTTGTAAAAAATAAATCGTATCAAGTTTTCGATTTTTTAAAAGCGAGCAACAATATATTCTTGAAATTCATTTATTTCAATAATGTGTTAACAGGTAGCTATAAAAAAATGTAATGTAATTTTTCCAAGACTATTCTTTAAAATGCCAAAAAACAAATTTTTATAATGAATTGTAATTTAAATTCTTGAAAAATTATACATTGTCAATTTATACCTTTATATCTATAATTGATGATCCAAAATAAATTAGTAGAGATTACTGGTCATTATTTTTCTCACGAAAAACAGTTTTCAAATTTCGATTTACCCTTATTATAGTACAATTATCATGGAGTAACTAGAATTTTAAAAGTTTCGGAGAGTTGCTTATATATGTGGCAGTTTCGTTTATGAAAAACTGAGTGCGATAGTAGGCAGCAGGACGACAAACGCACTCGTAAAGAAGTCGCACTCGCGTCGAGTTGGGTGTATGTGTATGTACATATATATATATATATATACCGATTGTGTATGTGTATATGAATATATATATATATGGAGGGATCGTCAGGCGGCGAAGACGTATAGGTGGCGGGAGGGAGCATACGGCAGCAGCCCAACAGTCGCTCGGCTGGGGGCGAAGAGGGGGGGCGAACAGATCGATTGGGGAGCTGCGCGTGCGCGGCTCGGGGGTTGCCGACGCAGGGCGGTGGTGGGGTTGCTGCGCGTATCAGAGCGTAGAGCGACGGGAGCGCGTTCCTCGCTGGAGGCGGCGCCTTGGGGAGGGCGGGGGCGACGCGCGGCGCCTCTCTCGCCCCGAGCGCAGTTAGGCGTCGCGACGTGCCACGTGTGGTCTGTGTGTTTGTGCCAGAGAGACAGAGCTTGCGGACACGATAACACGATATATTGCCGGCTCAGCTACCTTCCGGCTTCCGCCTCTTTCTCGCGCTTCGGCTCCATGCCGGGGCTGCCACTGCTGCCTGCCTACTACTTCCCGTGCGTAACTCTCACCTTCTGCTGCCCTGCATCACCTATCTCGCCTTGTCCTTTAGTCCCCTGGAGGAGCTGTCACTGTGCGACCCCTAGCTTCGGGCCTTTTTCGTGGTTTACTGCCTCTTCTTCGTTTTTTAACTGCCTGAATTCTTTTGGTTCTACATCCGTCGGTAATAATTAGCGTAAACGTCGATCAGCAGCGGATTTTTTTTTCAATTTTGTCTTTTTTTTCTCTTGATGTTGTGTTAACTTCTTTTTTTTCGTCTTTTCATCGAACAAATATTTGAAGCAAAAGGGTCATATATGTTTATTCTGCGAGTGTGGCTTGATAAATGTTATAAACACTCAAATAAACATCTGCTCGTACTACCGCTGTTTTCACCTGGAGGTATTTAATTATTGAACTTGATCGCTGGAAAATAATTACAAACTATTTTTGGCGCGACGCGATACAATAAAAATATTTGAGTAGCAGCTTGATCGAAAATAATAAGCGTGTCTTACGAACTGTCGACTTGAAATAGGAATCAATGAGATTTATGCCAAATAGCACATGCGTAATCGAGCCAAAGAGAAAAACTTGACAATGAGAGCGAGAGAAAGGTGTAAACTTCACAACCTCAAAGAGTTGGATACTGCAACTGTCCGAGTGCTGAGCGTACAAATATATAAGCCGACCTTGCACTCCTCGCGCTCGCATCCACCCACGCTCTCTCTCTCTCTCTCTCTCTCTCTCACTCGTTCGCTCGTCGCGCAAGTACCCCCTTTTCCGCCGCTGCCGCCGCGAAGCGCGCACGCTCTGCGCCCGTCATACAGAGTCCGCGGTGGTCGCGTGTTGCTTGCGCCTCCCATCGTCGCTCCGTGTGCTGTATACCTGGCAGTCGCACGCGCGGATGTAGCTTTCTCTCGCGCTTGATTTCGTCGACTTGTTGTTATCGTTATTGTTAATATTGTCGCGGCAACATTCTGGCCGAAGCGATTTTCTTGGTGATCATTTCTTGTTGTAGGCGGAGGTATGCTACTCGTTTACGAAAAAGATAACCAAGTGCTGGATAAAGTGTGATACTTTTGTTTGGTGATTGAGCTGGGTGGTTTTTTGTTGTTCTTTGTGTCCTACGGGGCTGCTGTCTGCTATTGGAACTTTAGTGTGCAGCAGACTGAAGTTTTATGGATAGGTAAGATAGATACTGTTGTTTAGAGTCAGCTGTACTTACTGTGAACACTCGGAACACTAGTATAGAGCATTATTATTTAGTGTCTACGAATTTTCAGTACGAAGTTATTACCTAAAAATTGTTGGGTTGGGTCTTTGTAACTATTAATCTTCGATTTGATTTGATTAATAATCGTTTTCAAGGTTTGAAAATCAAGTATGAATTTATATGATCCGATTTATATGAGTAATTGAATAAGATCGCTTATTTGTATGAAAAGTCTTTTGGTCAATAAAAATAAATTCGAGCTCAAGATTCTGAGTATAAGAAAAGCTGAAATTACACGAGCAAATAAAGAGAAAAAAAGCCATAGAGAAGAGTGCGAAGTCTCGTGGAAAAGGAGAAAACTTTATTATAAAGTTGGTCTGTCGGAGGCCGAGTGTCGTGTGTTTCCCTTTCATTTTCCAGGAGCATTTGCAATTAAAAAACGGTTGTGGCACCTCGGGGAGCCGTATTTAACTTTGCTTAACTAAGTTCGTCAGTTGTTGACGGAGCGCCCCAGGGATCCGCGACGTAGTCGTCTTCACACCGCTTCTGATTCGCGCGATTTTTCGGTCTTCGTCAAACCTTTTTCTTAAACTCGTTTAATCAGATTTACGTCAAAGCAAAGTGAAGTGAAACCGTGAATTGAATACCTCGTTTTTACGCTCTCTACTAAAGATGCCGTTATGCTAGCTCCGGAATAGTTCTCCAATAAATTGTACGAACGCAGGCAGACGCTCCGCCAAGGAAGGTTAGATTTTTAAGGTTATGCAAACATTGCGATTCAAAAACATTTCAATCTGATTAACGTTACAAATCTATTTACTTTTTGATATACACTGTGCAAACATAGAAAGTATTCTCAGAAGTTAATGCTTTGAGGTTCGCTCGCAACAGGCTTTTGTTTCTGCGAGTGCTTGTTTTATGAGAGCTGTATTTCTAAAATATGAAAAATTTTACGAACTGTAGTTGGCTGTAGCCAACAATAACATCCAACTTAACAGTATTTTCAATTTCATATTCTGAAATGTCCACTTCATTAATTTCCATTTAAGTCATAAATATTTAAACACTGTTATTGTCATTAATTCAACCATTACTAAATTATGATAAGCTTCGAAAGAGACTCTTTCCATGTTCAATGTCACTGATTTCATATTTGCACGGATGATAGAATAGTGCTATAGTGGATTATTACTCTACAAGATAAAATTTCCTGGTAAACTATTATTGTATAATTGTATTGTACGTGTTGATGTAAAAAAGCAAACTTTCGATGTCTCTTTACATTATCGAATTCCCATTGTCGAAGAAATAATGAAAATGAAACTTTGAGCTCAACGAAGGAATAGGAAAGTGAGCATGAAAAGCATAATGTAATTTTGCATTGCAGGGCGTGCAGTCACAAAACAGCAGGCGAGTGACAACCGAGCCGGAACATGAGTTCCGTGGGTTAGGTCGGGAGAGAGAGAAGCTCGCGGTTGTCTGGCGTTGGCGCAACGAAAGAGAGGCTTGTGCTTGATAATCGTCGAGTATCTCGGGGCGACGTGCGCCTGACTGCAGCGCTTCATCTCAAATCCGAGGACAGCCAAGCGGAGAGAGCATCGCATCGACAACATGTCGTATCTCGCTCTTGACTCCAACGCCTGGCAGGTAGGTTACGCAATCTCTATTTGCTTCCCGCCGACAATTAGCCAAATTGCCATGCGGATAAAAATCTCTCCCTCTCCGCGCGCCAAGCGCACGCATCTACGGCGCGGCGGACGAGCCGTGCTCCGTTTATTTTAATTATCGCGATGAAAATGCATGCGTCTTTGCGCTGCGCGCGCGCGTTGATTTAATTATCAGGAGCAACGTGTGCGAGCCGCACTTTTGCTCCGTCTGCTCGCTCGCACTATTTATCTTCCGTTTACTCCTTTTGCTCTTGCATTACGCACATACCTGAGAGTGCCATATCTATTCCTATCCTGAAAGACTCAGGCTTGATTATTTCTAGCCAATTATTTTCTACGCCTTAACTCTATTTGTGAACATTGTTTTCCGTAGCGTTGATCCCCAGTAGTACAAGAAACATTCAAAGAATACTAGAACTGAACAGAACGACCGACGATTTCGCGCAACTCAGCTGCAATCGCCGAATTTCTTCGGTCCGCATCGTGTAACCACGTGGCCGTGTGAGTCAGTCAGGCGTTGACAATTTTTAAAGCGACTCGACCTCCCGACGGGCAAGCTTGTCTGCGAAAGCGCGCGCTCTTCCCCGGGCCGCTGCTGCTGAGCTGTGCCACCTTTCACGAGCATGCGCTTCTTCTGCCTATATAGCTGACAAAATGCACTTTGCACGGGATAGGTTATTCGCTTAGCGGGCCACTCACAGTCTGCGCGTCGAGCTCCCTTTCAGCCATCTTAGAAGCTGATGCGATTAGAGCTTCGGCCGTCGCCGTCGATGCTGTGACTCGATTAGCTTTTCGAGTAGGCGCCGCCCGAGCAGCTACGTACGTATAGGCATACGTATAACGGCAAAAGCCTCGCGCTCGGCCTGCGCTCCACACGCGAGCCTACCTACGCCACATACACATGAATATTTATGCCGAGACACGGAAATTCGCAGAGCGCGGGTTTCTCCCTCGGCCACGGGTTCGACGATAATTCGCTAATTTTGCCCCTTGTTTTACACGAGCCGCGTTTTGTGTGCAAGCGAGCGATCGGCCGCACTGCACTTTTAATGGCCACGCTATGCGCTGACTAACGTTCCGTCAAGCTTTCTCGAAGGGATCTCTTCATTTACGTTGCATTAATATTGTAAAAGACACTTATTCACAGCGAAATCTTTTGATCTTTACGAATGGTAAGCTTTACCGACTTTTTTGCAACTACACAAAACACATATAGGTAATAGTCGTAGTATGTTCGAAATGCAGCTGATCGGAATTGCTTCGCAATCAATACAACTCCGGCGCAGCTTTATAAAACTGAAGCAAGTTACGGAGTTCTCACTGAATTCAAAATTCCCCTAAAATAGACCAGAACACACGCGTGTAGGCAACTACTTTGTAGGGTACTCTCTCACGAGCCTTATAAACGAAAATGATAGGTGCGTCATTTGTAATCCAGTCAGTCATATCTGAATCGTAGTGTACGTAAGCGCGGCGCCACGCGCATATGCATGTATTTAAAAAGCGAGGAAATTGTCCGCGCGGGGGGTGGCGGAAGATTAGTAACGCATTGATTCGTTCGTCGGCGTAGTACAGCAGCGCACGTCTATTGCAGAGCGGACTCCTGCGCGACGCTATGCGATAATGGCAGGCGCATACGCTCGGCATGTACATGTACATATATTTAGCTTCCCCCGTGAGAGATAGCAGCTTGCTATCGCGGCCAGCGTACGCTGGATTGAGATGGACGTATAGTCTAATTCGAGGTTAACCGACGATGCTATCAGGAGCTGCGTGCGCGAGACCAGCCCCAGCCCCCATCGCTCTATATTACAGTGTGCGCTCTGCGGTTTAGTTACGATAATTACGATCTTAATGCTGCTATGATAGAATCGTTTTCACTAATTAATGCTTCGTGCAGGGTTTAGCAAGTCGTGCGCATTTCAGTTTCTTCTTTACAACTTCGACAACGAGAAATTCATATAGTGGCTGATAAAATAAGAAACGGCGTTTACAAAATTACATTTCGTACGGTAAATTAGTAACAGATTTGAATGAATAATATTATTGTGGAAATAATTACATTCAAAATCCCAATTCCCCAAAACAGTCTGTAAATCAAAATTAGTACAAAAAGATCTAAACACACCCCCTATCCCCAACGGGACATTATTTCGAACCGTTCAAGCGCAAAAAACGCCATTAAAAGAAACAAAAACGTAAGAGTCGAGCGAACAAAAAAAGAAGCTGTAAAAAAAGTCAGTCCAGTAGATCTTGGCCCATTAGACACGGTATGCTACGATGATTCCCCTACGGCGCAGCGGCGGGCGTTGCAGATCACAGAGCGCTCTGGCACCGGAAACGTAACGCCTCGACCTTGTCGGATGAGGAAAACGAGGTTAGCTTAACTTCTCTTCGGCCAAATCCAATTGCCGGCGCATGATTTTACATACCCCGTTTAAATGCGCGCCTTCCATGTATATAATAATACACGCTCGCGCGCATAGAGCAAAGCTTCGAAAACTTTGTTTTACCTACTCCTCAGTGTATCTCGTGCGTGGCACGTATATGCATGCCACATGGTGATGGGTTATCATACGTTTATCAATCAATGTCGGGTTTTGAGAAATCAGATTTGCTTTTGTATTTATTGCTCTCGAAATGCATTTTATGGATTGTTGATTCAGACTTTATAGTAAAATTATACTGTTGATTAAGCTTTACGTCCCCTTATAATGAATGGCATATAATTGTATAATACTCACGAATATTATGAAATAGAAATTTATTCATTATACTACTTCCATGAATGTTATTAATGTGTCGTAATAACTGAATTTGAATTCTCAACAAAGTATAACGAGCACAATCCCATGCACTCGACAGCTAATTCATGAGAAGGAATATCGAGAGAGAGAGAGAGAGAGAGAGAGAGAGAGAAAGCTTGATCCCAGTACAAATGTAGAGTGTACACACAGAAAAAGAGGCTGCGTATTTGCACATTTTCCAATAAAGCGGCGTGGAAGCGAGTGGATGACGGTCGCGTGGCGCGTGTCCTTGGCCCGAAGAACAACAGAGCCACGCGACCCACAGAGCGAGATTAGCGCCGACTGCTCTCTCAGGCCCTTTCTCTGTCTCATAAAGTATACATGCCGCGGGCTCGTCCGTGCGAAATGATGCCGCTGCCGCCCACCACTTGACTCACGCCCTCGAGAAATCAAGTGCCGATGATCTGTTGACACAAAACGCGCACGTGAACTCTTCGGCCGGGCTTTCTATGGGAGACTGCACCCGTGAGAGTTTAATTTTTTTATTGTTCGGCACGCGCGGGTATCTCATTTGCCATTAACCGTTTGCCGCTAACTGTTGATCTTTTGTTGTAAAGATTTATTGTGAATTGTACCGATGGCTTCGAACGTGCGTTCGATATTTCCCTTCATGCGCATTCGTCCGTCTGGATAACTACATCAGCGTTATTTCATTCGTCGACTAATTCGTTTTATTTATAATATTAAATACTAGCCAGTATCGGGTACGTGAATAGATAAAATAACGTAATAATGGTAGATTCATTTCTATTTCCATAAAGACATCTTTTTGAAAATCTATTGCTCAGAATGATTGAAAACCATCAAAGTATGAAGATTTGGACAACAAATAACCGGCGATTCGTCATCATATTTCGATCTAATTGATGACTCACTATTTTGCATGCCAGACAAGACGTGGAGGCGAACAGTTGGTGGACACATCAAAAACTTGCCGCACTTCAAAGTTGGTCTCGAAACTCGAGAGCGATCGCACATATACATACATCAATGTACACGAGGAGGGGCCTGGCTGGGTGTTGTTCGTTTGCCGAGAGTAACGGGAAGGAAAGAGTGAGATAGAAACGAAAAATAAACGATAGGACGAATTAGCGTAATCGCGTGATGGTTTGCACAAGGGAAATGTCTGCGTGCGCGCATGCGTTCTGTTATAGTCGAGGGAGCACGGCCTATACGTCGAAAATTGCGGGGGACGACAAATTGCATTTCAATTCTCATTTCGGCTTGGAACTAACCGCGTGCGACAGAGAGCCACTGCCATTCATTGTATTGCGTTGTGCATGTTGGCTTTGCAGTTTCATCTACTTTCGAGGAATGCTTATTAGGATTTATACAGGTTTTAGAGTAGACAATCGAGAACGGAAAACGTAAAGAGCATCGAAGTAGTTGATTATCCGAAGAAAAGTTAGTATCATATTCCGAGGAAAGGTCGTTGTCAAGATTGTCATATTACCAAGAGAAAAAATGATCATTCGCACTTTGCAAAGCGATACACGAATGTTCCATTTGAGTCGCGATGAAAGCTCGCGCGCGGTACAGGGCAAGCACAAACAAAACGGCGCGTGTGCGCTCGATGAGAGGAGCCTCTGAATAAGTTAGGCGTTTTGTGCACACATGACTGGGTAGCAAACCCGAGCCCTATGAGAATGAGAAAGAGGCACCCCCGACACTTCGCTCCGTACTCGGGACTCGCCGTTGTTTAACTCAATGACAATACACGGTAGAGCGAGAGAGTACCATTTGCGAGTGGACACACGCGTACAATGCCCACTTGGCGAAGAAAACGAGCGGAAGTCTCCTCCATAATGCAGTCACGGCAAATCCCTGCGTCCCTTTAATTACAGTTAGGCGATGAGTTAGCCGCTTCCCCCAGGCGAGATGTTGTCTCGTTTTATCGAAGCTATGCGCGATTTTTGTTCTTCCTATACTTCGTCTTCATCTGTAAGGTGCTGAAATGATAGTTTGTGGTGTAATTTGTGGTGTCAAGATGCCATGCTTGCATTAATTTTTTGATGAATAGCACTGTGCGAGATTCCACATCGAAACGACGCGCAAGAGAAGAGACGAACAACACACGCGCAAATCGAGGCGGCAGTGCTCGTAGCTGCAGACGCGAGCATAAAAGAGAAGAGAAAGAGAGATTCGCGACGTGGCTACGTGACGCGGCGATGAC